CCCCCCCCCTCCCCTCTCTACCTCCCCCATGACATCAGTTAATCCCGCTGGGATGACACCAATGGGGTAGAAATCGCTTAATTGTCTCCCATTGTTCTTGGGTATTTATGCCATAGATGGGGAAAAGGGGAGGGTGTAGGAAAATAATGGGTGAAATAGGGAGGAAGGACAAATAGGCGGGGAGTTGGGAAGGGGAGGAATGGGGGGGTCAAGGGAGACGAGGGTTGAATAAGGGTGGGGAGGGAGGGCAAAATTGGGCGGAAAGGGAAAATAAACGCGGTTGATGAGATTGATGCTTACCTTGTTTAATAGTGTCTGATGTTTGAGTCACAGCCTGGTTGATCAGGTATCCTTTGGAGGTGCTTGTCAAGTTCTCTCTTGAACACTGTGAGGGGTCAGCCAGTTATGCCCCGTATGTGAAGTGGAAGCGTGTTGAACAGTCTCGGGCCTCTGTTGTTGATAGTTCTCTCTTGAACACTGTGAGGGGTCGGCCAGTTATGTCCCTTTATGTGTAGCGGAAGCGTGTTGAACAGTCTCGGGCCTCTGATGTTGATAGAGTTCGCTCTCAGAGTACCTGTTGCACCTCTGCTTTTCAACGGGGGTATTCTGCACATCCTGCCATGCCTTCTGGTCTCATGTGATGTTATTTCTGTGTGCAGGTTTGGGACCAGCCCCTCAATTATTTTCCACGTGTAAATTATTATGTATCTCTCCCGCCTGCGCTCAAGAGAATTCAGATTTAAGCATTTTTAGTCGGTCCCAATAATTTAGATGTTTTATCTCGAGGTATTAAGTGAATTCTAACAATAAGTTATCAGGATTTTCTGACCTCCAGGTTAGCAATTTCTCACTTTGCAATTTCTACTTATATTGATTCCAAACGCATTCATTTTTCATTTTTAATACCAATAACACATGCGAATGAAAAACAGTATATTTTCTTCAAATTTTCAATGATTAAACAATGGTAATTGAATATCTATTTGATTAAATTTCAGTTAAACGATAAGATCAGTGTACATGAACTCGCGTACACACACACACACACACACACACACACACACACACACACACACACACACACACACACACACACACACACACACACACACAACACCACTTGTTTGAAAGTTGAGAGGCGGGACCAAAGAGCCGAAGCTCAACCCCCACAAGCACAAGTAGACGAGTACCTACTGGGCACATTCGCGCTCTCAAACACGCGCTTAAACGCACGCACGTTGATATCCAAAATGTATCACATTCCTTGACCACACTAACAGATCCAAGTTTTCAAATTTCACTTTTCAATTCATCGATTAATCAGTATTCATCACTGAGGCGTGACAGTCAATCATCGTTCTGAGTGCCTGGTGCTTGACATAAGCGAAGAAATGACACAAAACATTATCTCTAATGAATTATTGATCGTTCATTATGCATCATAGAGGACCAACGATCACATGAGATTAATTCATTTTATCGGAAGATTGATCATCAAAATACGTGACACTGAGTAAATAATTGTCGTCTGCTGTAGATCAATTATCCCCCCCATTTGATCGTTCAGGAATTGGGTTAACACACGCTAAAAATAAATTCGCAAACCTCTCGTAAAATATGAAATTAGTTGGGGGTTTGTGTCTCTTTTTCGTTAAATTATAGCGAAGTCGATGGGAACAAGTACCGCAAATGGGTTTCGGTTTACGAGAAAAGCCTCCGGTAAGCTGATGTTTTAACGAATGGTAATGTTTGCGAGAGAGAGAGAAAGGTATTGATTTCGCTAGCGAAAGAGGTCGTTTTTGTAATAACGAGACAGGTGGTTGGCTCTCTCGTTAGCAGTGTGGTGTGGGAACAATGTCTTTAGTGAAAATACCGAAGGGTTCTTCAATGGGGTTTTAGCGAGGGCGTCTTTTTAAGTAAGATATGGAATGCGAATGCGCTCGCTAAAACTTGGGAATAGGTAACAGGTGTATACGTTATTCTCTCTTCCTATCACCCCCCCCCCCCAACACCCACTGTGTGTGTGTGTGTGTGTGTGTGTGTGTGTGTGTGTGTGTGTGTGTGTGTATTCACCTAATTGTGCTTGCGGGGGTTGAGCTTTGGCTCTTTGGGCCCGCCTCTCAACTCTCAATCAACTGGTGTACAGATTCCTGAGCCTACTGGGCTCTTATCATATCTACATTTAAAACTGTGTATGGAGTCAGCCTCCACCACATGTGTGTGTGCGTGCCTGTGCACGTGCGCGCCATGGTTTCAGTGGAGCTGTGTATAAGCGAGGCCGTTAATAAATTAGCGAGCTCGCTGTGGCAGGGCCGCCACACTAACAATTACGAGTCGTTGTGTACCTGACGTGATGCACAGCCATTAGGCAGTAAATCCTGCACCCTCTCAATTTATCGCAAACAAAATGACATAATGACACCGAGCTCGCGGGCGCGCGCTCTCTCTGTCTCTCCCCTTGAGCGAGGGGTGGAGTGGAGAGAGGGGGAAAGGAAGAGGGGAATGTATGGTTGGGGAAGGCTTTAAGCTGGTTCTGGCAAGGGGAAAAGGTTATCAGCGGAGGGGATATTTGTTCAGGGTTAGAGAACATTTATTTGTTCAGGGTTAGAGAACATTTATTTGTTCAGGGTTGCAGAACATTTATTTGTTCATTTACAGTGTTATTCGTGGGCGTTTGGTTGGAGTATTTCAGCTTATTTGAAGACTTGAAGTACTGTTTTTTTAAGGGGGAAAAAATCCCTGGAAACACAAACCGTAAATGTCTCTATTTTCCGCTTGTTACAACTTGTAATAAAGTTGTTACATCTTGGCTTAACGTGTTTATGACGTATTAGAACGTTGTTACAACTTGCTATATTGGTTGTTATAACTGGTTAGCAGGTGTTAAAACTTGTTCGAACGTTGTAGCAACGTCGTAGTTTCGGTGTGTGTTTGGCGAAAGGGAGGGTGTTTTTGGAATTATTTTCATATCTATTTCTGCTGTCTTGAGTTGCATTAGAAGATGCCTCGTTTAATGAGTTAAGAGGACATGGTTTTATTTATTTTTCATTTAAATTTATTTATTAAATTTCTATTTAAATTATTTAAATTTATTTAGTAGTTTTGTTGTGTTTAGGTAAAAGTAATTTTCTCGTTTGAGAGCTAATTTTGTTTTGTTTTATATAAGGGTTTAGGCAAATATTTTGTTAATCTTGAGTTTTATATTTTTTGTGAGCTACAATTTTTAGGTGTTTATGGAAAGTTTGTGTAATAACATGTAAGGTGTTGCAACATGCAATGACGCAATGCTTGTGCTTCACAATAGTGAGCATTAGTGTCGGTTATCTTGAGGTTATCTTGAGATGATTTCGGGGCTTTAGTGTCCCCGCGGCCCGGTCCTCGACCAGGCCTCCACCCCCAGGAAGCAGCCCGTGACAGCTGACTAACACCAAGGTACCTATTTTACTGCTAGGTAACAGGGCCATAGGGCGAAAGAAACTCTGCCCATTGTTTCTCGCCGGCGCCTGGGATCGAACCCAGGACCACAGGATCACAAGTCCAGCGTGCTGTCCGCTCGGCCGACCGGCTCCCTCCCTGTCTGTTGATTTGGCTTTGCAACATAGCAAATATAGCTGAAAACAGCCATGTGTCAAGGTGTATTATTTACGATATAGAAAGTATCGGTGTAAAAAGCTTGCAATTAAGTTACATGGTGGATGGCCGTCTTCGGCTATATGAAGAAGTGGCTCTGAATAACTTGAATAAATCCACAAGGGCCGTGACGAGGATTCGAACCTGCGTCCAAGAGCATCCCAGACGCTGCCTTAATCGACTGAGCTACGACATGGTCAAAAGGAGTTGAAACCTAAGTTCTACTGAACTTACTGGATCCTGCAGCCTCTCCGAGACACAAACCAGGGTTTTACACAACTCCCCCCTGCACTCGAGCTATGTCAATAGCCCGTTCTCCCTCTTCGCTCTAACTTCATTACACACACAAATCAGTAACTTTGCAGGCGATGAGTCACAATAACGTGGCTGAAGTATGATGACCAGACCACACACTAGAAATTGAAGAGACGACGACGTTTCGGTCCGTCCTGGACCATTCTCAAGTCAATTGACAATCGACTTGATGCCGTCGTAACTAATGGAACACAACAAATGGGAAGTGTTTTTCTTATTTACTCCAAAATAATGACTTACTGGGGACAAGGATACGGAAGGAAGTGCAGAATAGAGCCAATGAACAGTAGAGATGCCATGATTGATTGGCACCTGTTTGTGCCAATCAGAGAACACTGAAAGACAATCAGAAGTCCACGGCTGTTCACTAACCTCCCGCGGTTACATTGTATGAACATCAGAGGTTCACGGGTGTTCAATATGGGTACAATTAGTCATGCTTATTCTGTAGGGTGTGCCGGATCAACCTGGCTGTAATGGATATAAGATATATAAACCTGCGGGCCGCTTCAAGCAACAGTCTGTTGGACCAAGCTCTCACAGGTTTAAGCCTGGCCCCCAAGCTTGTAATTGGGGGAAGGCTGAACTAAATTTTTCTGTGATTAAGTGGTTTAACCATAAGGTTACCTTGGGATTACCTTTCCTTGGGATTACATTTCATTGGGATTACATTTCCTTGGGATTACATTTCATTGGGATTACATTTCCTTGGGATTACCTTTCCTTGGGATTACCTTTCCCCGAGATTACAATTCCTTGGGATTACCTTGAGGTGGTTCGGTGTCCCTGAGACCAGGTCTCTTAGATGACTTAGAAGATTACATTTTTACCTTGAAGTGTTCGTGAGGTATAATATGTTACAGGTATAATTAGTATGATAATAGAGCCGCGAGGCGACATACACTTGGGAAGTTTTTCTTAAAATATCTCAAGAGGGGAATCTCAGAGGTTAATTAAGAGAGGATTCGGACTGAGAGCACCTGACTCTCTTCCTTCGGCTAATGAGCGAGAGATGAGAGTGTATGGAAGAGACTCAAGCTCTCAATACCGGTAAAATGGTGAATAATATGAGGAATGTGGTGATGCTGTTTGGAGTGATTAAGATGCCGGGTGAGATGAAGATGCTGGATGAGATGGTGAATGAGATGACGCACCAAGTGCATGCTGAGGGTGAGGTGGATAATGAGATGAGAAATTGATGAAGATAGTGACATTCCCAGATCTGATGGTGTTATGGTGCCAGGTGATGGTGTTATGGTGCCAGGTGATGGTGTTATGGTGCCAGGTGATGGTGTTATGGTGCCAGGTGATGGTGTTATGGTGCCAGGTGATGGTGTTATGGTGCCAGGTGATGGTGTTATGGTGCCAGGTGATGGTGTTATGGTGCCAGGTGATGGTGTTAGGGTGCCAGGTGATGGTGTTAGGGTGCCAGGTGATGGTGTTATGGTGCCAGGTGATGGTGTTATGGTGCCAGGACGGGAGGATGCTTCTGCAGCATCTTGCTTATCTCCCTTTTTCCTTTGTTCTTTCTAATCTTCTCTATCTCCTCTTCCTCCTCTACCTTCCCTTCTCCCCCTTCCTCCGAACTGCCTTCCGTTTCCTAACTATCGCTTCTAACCACCTCTTCCTGATCCTCTCTCTCCCTTTCCTTCCTCTTAACCCCCTCTTTCCCTCCCAACTCCCCCCCTCCTAATCCTCCCTTCACCCCCTCCTAATCCTCCCTTCACCCCCTCCTAATCCTCCCTTCACCCCCCCTCCTAATCCTCCCTTCACCCCCCCCCTCCTAATCCTCCCTTCACCCCCCCTCCTAATCCTCCCTTCACCCCCCCCCCCCTCCTAATCCTCCCTTCACCCCCCCCCTCCTAATCCTCCTTTCACCCCCCCCTCCTAATCCTCCCTTCAACCCCCCCCCTCCTAATCCTCCCTTTACCCCCCCCTCCTAATCCTCCCTTCAACCCCCCTCCTAATCCTCCCTTCACCCCCCTCCTAATCCTCCCTTCACCCCCCCTCCTAATCCTCCCTTCACCCCCCCCTCCTAATCCTCCCTTCACCCCCCTCCTAATCCTCCCTTCACCCCCCCTCCTAATCCTCCCTTCACCCCCCCCTTCTAATCCTCCCTTCACACCCCCCCCTCCTAATCCTCCCTTCACCCCCTCCTAATCCTCCCTTCACCCCCCCCCTCCTAATCCTCCCTTCACCCCCTCCTAATCCTCCCTTCACCCCCCTCCTAATTCTCCCTTCACCCCCCCCCTCCTAATCCTCCCTTCACCCCCCCTCCTAATCCTCCCTTCACCCCCCCTCCTAATCCTCCCTTCACCCCCCCCCCCTAATCCTCCCTTCACCCCCCCTCTCCTAATCCTCCCTTCACCCCCCCCCCCCCTCCTAATCCTCCCTTCACCCCCCCTCCTAATCCTCCCTTCACCCCCCCTCCTAATCCTCCCTTCACCCCCCCCCCTCCTAATCCTCCCTTCACCCCCCCCTCCTAATCCTCCCTTCACCCCCCCCCCTCCTAATCCTCCCTTCACCCCCCCCCTCCTAATCCTCCCTTCACCCCCTCTCCTAATCCTCCCTTCACCCCCTCTCCCTAATCCTCCCTTCACCCCCCCTCCTAATCCTCCCTTCACCCCCCCCCTCCTAATCCTCCCTCCACCCCCCCCCCCTCTCATCCTGATCTGAACCGTAATCTCATAATTACGCTTTGAAATTTTTATTTTTTTTAACTTTACTGGAACTTATATTTTATATATTACTTTGTTTTACGTTGTATTTTGTGGTATGTTGTGTATAATGTAGTGTTGTGTGTATAAAGTATTGTGTATTAAATGGTGTCTAGTGTATAATGGGATTTACTGTAATTTTTTTCCGATGAAAATACGATGAAGATTTCGGTGCCATGATTAGTTGGGTTCTAAATCTTAATACAAATAATTAAGTAAATGTTGGAAATTAGAAATTATAACGCAGGTCTGCGTTCAATCCCCGACCGTCCCCCAGTGGTTGGGCACTACTGAATCGCAGTAAAATCTGGATGGTTTCAAGCGAAATTCAGACCTACATATTAATAAATTAAGCAAAATAGTAATTGGAGGTACCCAAAAAAGGGAGGTACCCTAAAGGGAGCCGGTCGACCGAGCGGACAGCACGCTGGACTTGTGGTCCCGGGTTCGATCCCGGGCGCCGGCGAGAAACAATGGGCTGAGTGCAGGCGATGAGTCACAATAACGTGGCTGAAGTACTTTGAGAATGGTCCAGGACGGACCGAAACGTCGTCGTCCCTTCAATTTCTAGTGTGTGGTCTGGTCATCAATGGGCAGAGTTTCTTTCACCCTATGCACCTGTTACCTAGCAGTAAAATAGGTACCTGGGTGTTAGTCAGCTGTCACGGGCTGGTTCCTGGAGGTGGAGGCCTGGTCGAGGACCGGGCCGCGGGGACACTAAAGCCCCGAAATCACCTCAAGATAACCTATAACCAGCCTTGATCAATAGGTCTTCTACAGTTACCTACTTTCTCGCGTGCGCACGCGCGTGCGGAAGTGCGCATTAAAGAATTTATAAATGCAAAATAGAAACAGAAAATATAAATTATTTGTAGAATTCAAAACCCGATATTTAAAAAAAAAACATGCAGTTTTTTTAACGATAAATCCCCTTTAGGCTAATGTGTAAAAAATAAAAATACTGTAATCCTTGGATGTCTAATAATCCACTTCACGTGATAATTTTATATAATTCCCCGTGGAGCGAGTAATGTATAATCGAATTATCCTTATTTTGTTAATTAGCAATACTCTGTCGACGGCCAAAATTGGACTTGGTGTACACCAAAGACTTGCTTCGTTCCGGGGTCTTGGCAAAGTCCAGAAAATGGGGGAGTGGTAGGAAAATAGGTATTTTAGCTTCAGTAAAATAGGCACACGTAGGCACTTTAGCAGACCAATGTTAACAGGAGGACATCATAGGAACACTTGGAGACGAATGCTAATGGCATATCAATAGGCTCGAACTTGAACAAACTGATTATCGAAAGCCAGATTAGCAAGGTGACGGGTCAGCCGCGACTGCGAAACATTGACCAAACTAAACAGTAGTGACCTTGAGTGACCTCGTGTGATGGGTCTTAGGTAACCGTCAGGGAATAGGGGTCAAGTTTAAAGGTCAAGTTTAGGGATTAAGTTCAAGTTCGTTTATTGAGACAATAAAATCTCCCCTGTTTCATTCTCCCCTCCAATCTTTGCCCTGTGGCAGTCGGCGTGGGTGAGGTCGCGTGCTCCCGGGTCAGGCTCCCAGCAGCAGCAGCAGCAGCAGCAGCAGCAGCAGCAGCAGCAGCAGCAGCAGCAGGCCGCTCACTGCAGTGTTGGTAATGATGATGATGGTGATGAATGGGGTCGTGGCGACACTGGTCGGTGGTGGGGGGGGGGAGATCGCGTGTCCCGTCATTCTGTCTGTCATGTAAGACAGCGGATGGGATCTGTTTAACTCTCTCCTCCCCCTCTCTCTCCCTTTCCTTTATAGTTACCTCCCCTCACTCTCCCCTGGCCGATCTCTCCTCTCCCCCCTCCCTTCCTTCCCACTGTTCTACCACCCCCGACTCTGCCCCCCCCCCTTATCTTTCACACTGTGCTCTTGCTCCTTCTGTTTTCTCTCTCTCTCTCTCTCTCTCTCTCTCTCTCTCTCTCTCTCTCTCTCTCTCTCTCTCTCTCTCTCTCTCTCTCTCTCTCTCTTTATTTACCTGTGGGTCTGGGAGGGCGGGAGCCCTTGATTAGGTAGATCTAGGTTCTTGGTCCATTAGCTGTGAGCCCGGCCCGGGAGGAAACGAACTGGGGGTAAGAGTCTTGGAGTAGACGAACTCCCAGAACGCCATTCAACTACAGTAATCCAGGAGGAAGATATGCGCGCGCGCGCACACACACACACACACACACACACACACACACACACACACACACACACACACACACACACACACACACACACACACACACACAATGCATTATGGAATGCATTAGGGGGTGATGTGGTGGAGGCTGACTCCATACACAGTTTCAAGTGTAGATATGACAGAGCCCGATAGGCTCAGGAATCTGTACACCTGTTGATTGACGGTTGAGAGGCGGGACCAAAGAGCCAGAGCTCAACCCCCGCAAACACAACTAGGTGAGTACAACTAGGTGAGTACACACACACACACAATAACAGTGCTAAAATATACATCAAACAAACAAACACGAAAAATACACGAGACTTTCAAACGGGTCCGAAGAAATATATCCGCTTTATATAAATATTCCGAGAGTTAAAACATGTTCCCGATTAAAAACACAGTTTAAAAATGTTTAGCCTCTAAACACTGTGTGTGTGTGTGTGTGTTTGTGTGTGTTTGTGTGTGTGTGTGTGTGTGTGTGTGTGTGTGTGTGTGTGTGTGTGTGTGTGTGTGTGTGTGTGTGTGTGTGTGTGTGTGTACTCACCTATTTGTGTCTGCAGGATCGAGCATTGACTCTTGGATCCCGCCTTTCAAGCCATCGATTGTGTACAGCAATGACTGTGGTCCTATTTCCCTATCATACCTAGCTTTGTGTGTGTGTGTGTGTGTGTGTGTGTGTGTGTGTGTGTAAGATGGGAGGTCTGGTCCATGGGGCCATACCATGTGAGAATAACTCCACCATACTTAGCTATTTCCCTGGAAACACAAACCGAAACTGTCTCTATTTTCCGCTTGTTACAACTTGTAATAAACGTGTTACATCTTGGCTTAACGTGTTTATGACGTATTAGAACGTTGTTACAACGTGCTATATTGGTTGTTATAACTGGTTAGGAGGTGTTAAAACTTGTCCGAACGTTGTACCAACGTCGTAGTTTCGGTGTGTGTTTGTCGGGTTGATAATAGTCATGTAGAAAACAAGCGAGAGAATTGGTAAAAGAATTGCAACCTGGGATTCTACTGAATCCACGAGGGTTCCTGAAATAAACTTTATCTTACTATTCTTTTCTCAAATAAACTAATAGATAAGGTAAATAAAATAGAAGTTAAAAGAGGAAAGAATTCAATTAGATAAAATAAAAATAAAACGGGAAGAATGAAACTCACCGAAATAATTAGAATTAGAAAAACTTAGAATGAGAGAGAGAGAGAGAGAGAGAGAGAGAGAGAGAGAGAGAGAGAGAGAGAG